TCGATGATGGATCCTCTTCTTCCAGAAGGTTCTGGAGCCCCCCCAGGGGTTCTAGACAACCCTGCCTGCTGCTGAGGTTCTAGATCATTCCGCGGGGTTCCAGACTCTCCTGCGGGGTCCTGGCTGGGGCTGAGGTTCTGGACTCTCCTGGGTGATCTGGAACCTCAGCACCATCCAGGAGCCGGCAGGAGAGTCCAGAACCCCGGGCTGGCTCCAGAACCTGGGGACCCTCGGGATGAATCCAGAACCTTCTGGAAGAACCTCAGCACCCCCCGGGACACGCCCGGATCCGGCTTTGCCTCATCCCCATCTCCCCTTTTTCCCGCAGGGCTCCGGGCGGCCGTGACCCTGCTGGAGTCCGGGGGGGACCTCCAGCCCCCCGGGGGGTCCCTGCGCCTCATCTGCCGAGGACAAGGATTTGAGTTTAGGAACCACAACATGTACTGGATGCGCCAGAGACCCGGGAAGGCGCTGGAATTCCTTGCATTGATCAGAAATGATGGTGGTTACACCGAGTACGCGCCGTCGGTGCAGGGCCGGTTCACCATCGCCAGGGACAACGGGCAGAGCTCGGTGACGCTGAGCATGAACAACCTCCAGGACGAGGATTCCGGGGTTTATTTCTGCGCCAGATGTGTTAATAATCGTTGTTGGGCTGCTGCTGGAGCTGCTTTTGGTGACTATGCTGATGCCAGCCCCAGTGCCCCTTGATGGATCCCCAAACCCCCCAGATTTCCCAAATCCTGCCCCAATCCCAGCCCTGGGCCCCAAATCTGGGCCCTTTCACCCCAAATCTGGGCCCTTTCACCCCAAACTCCGCCCCTGCTGCCCCCACTCTCCCCTTTCAGCCGGGGCCAGAGCGAGCCCGGCTGGGGATAAAGGGTCAGCACCGGGGTCAGGGCTGGGATTTGGGGAGGGGTCTGGGTTTGGGGACAGCTGGGGACGGCACATGGGGGCGGGGACAGCACCGGCACCGTCAATATAAGCAGTAACGTCAACACCCCAACCAGCCACAGCGGCTTTGGCGCAGAAATAAACGCCGGAATCCTCGTCCTGGAGGTTGTTCATGCTCAGCGTCACCGAGCTCTGCCCGTTGTCCCTGGCGATGCTGAACCGGCCCTTCACGGATGGCGCGTAGTACGTGCTGCCACCACCGCTGCTGATGCTCGCGACGTATTCCAGCGCCTTCCCGGGTTTCTGGCGCATCCAGCCCATCCAAAAATCCCCAAACTGGAATCCTTGCCCTCGGCAGAGGAGGCGCAGGGACCCCCCGGCGGGCTGGAGGTCCCCCCCGGACTCCAGCAGGGTCACGGCCGCCCGGATCCGGCTTTGCCTCATCCCCATCTCCCCTTTTTCCCGCAGGGCTCCGGGCGGCCGTGACCCTGCTGGAGTCCGGGGGGGACCTCCAGCCCCCCGGGGGGTCCCTGCGCCTACTCTGCCACGGACAAGGATTCAATTTTGGGGATTTTGGGATGTACTGGATCCGCCAGAAGCCCGAGAAGGCGCTGGAATTCCTTGCATTGATCAGAAATGATGGTGGCTACACCTGGTACGCGCCGTCGGTGCAGGGCCGGTTCAGGATCTCCAGGGACAACGGGCAGAGCTCGGTGACGCTGA